TCTATGGCAAATTGTATTCATTTAGAAAGCCTAATGATTCCATCAGTAGAAATGTGCATGATCGACCTTAAAATCTACAAGTGTCTCAATGACATTTGATTATGCTGCCTTCACTTTAAAGTCCTCATTTGTCAAGTGAGTCCAAACTAGTCTGCTAAGGGGAAGCTCAGTGGTTTTGGTTTGCCAGGACTTGCATTCTGTTTCAGAAAATGAAGAGGAGGAAGAGGAGAGTGTATCCCTTTGGAAAAGCTTTCATCTGCAGAGTGATTTGCCTGGCTCATCCTTTCCCACAGAATAATGCCTTTTTAGGATTATTTCAGTATTCATTTCCCGATTGCAGAACTGAAGATAGCAGACCTAATTCCATTGATTGGCTTCTATCTGGAGTATCTGAAATGGGTATTTTAGACAGCAAAAAACTTTTAGCATTTTCAGCCTATTGCTCATAGTAAGTGATTGCTTTACTGATTCCAGTATGTTCGCCTATTGCTGGTCAGTCTATAACAAGCTTTTTTGGGGGGGTTAAAACAAAAATAGTAATTTGTGATAATGAAGCCAATCACTAGTGGTTATAGGAATGTTACTATGACAATTGGGACCATTGCTGCAGAATACTCTGTAGCGCTTTTTTTGGGTTTAAATAAAGGGTGTACTTCCCTGTGTAAAGGATGACCTGACAGTTTATAAAGAGCACTGTAGTGCAGTATAGGGGAAGACCTGAACCCTTGATGAAGCTCTTGGAAGGGTTTCTGATTAACAGTATCCAAGATTTGCACAAGAAGCAAGCGTGTCACTATGCGGTCTATCACAAACTCTCACGCGCTTCTTTAAGGTATTTTACTGCTGTTGTCTTACTGGCTTTTCCTGAAAAAAATACGGCTTTGATGTTTTATAGCTGCATGAAAACATCTTTTTTTTCGATACTACATTTCATTTCTTCATTGCCTCCCCAAATCCCAGCTTGTCAGATTCCCTGAGCAAAACTAACATGTTTTCCGTAGCTACCTCTTTGCCTCTGATCTTGGTATTGCTGAGAGTCCCAGCGTCCTCTTCTTTCTTTATGTTATCTCACTGTTATTAGTGCAAAATCTGGCAACTGCCTCTCTTGAACTCTTGCTGGGGTATGCTGTAGCCATGCTGTGCTTCTTGACCTCCAGATTTTTTGTAACCTAGTGAAGTTCATTGCTCAACAGATAACTCCTTCACAGTTTTCTCTCTTAATTTATAACTTCTTTTTTATTATCATCATCCTCAGTATTTTATCTTGGTTTCCAATTATTATTTCAGTGACATCTGCTTAAGCCATGTTGTTTTCAAGTCTAGATTCATATTTTGTGTTGCTGGAATAATTTTCAAGAAGTCTCAGTGTTGTTTTTAGGCTTGAGACAAAGGGTAGATGATGGAGGGAACAGTGGGGATGACGGAATGAGATATGGCGAGAGACAGTGGACATGAAGGTGAACTGAAGGACGAACATAGAATAAAGCAGAATCTGTGAGTGAAGAAGTGAGATTAAAATAAAATGTTGGCTTGAAATGGAAAAAAAGAGAAATAGGATGCATAAATAGGCTGGAAAATTCATGCAAAAGAGAAATAATTATGGCAGCTATACAAGAAGGCTGTGAGATGAAAATACCAGAAATTTCAGGCTGAAAAAGTAAAAAAAATCTTACTACAAAGATTTATTTGAGGACCTCATCAAAGGACTTAAATATACATCTGGGTTCAAGCACCTGCCTAGTCCAGTAATTCCTCAGGACAGATGTTGCAATCCACACAGTTTATGGCCTGATGCAAAGCCTTCTGAAGACGGTGGAGCCGTGTCCGTTGTACACAGTGGGCTTTGGGTCAGAGCTCTGTGAACATTTGAACACATGCTGGAGAAAGCAGCAGTAAAATAATGTATGGAGAACATTCCTGCCATCAGTAAGAAGATGGCTTAGCTGATTTAATAGCTTTTTCTCAGTCTGTGATTCTAACAGCCAGGTTTGTGATATTTATTTTAGTATTCATGTTCTTGCAGTCCTTTTTACATTTCTCTGTTTTTCCCTGGCAGACATCCCGCAGCTCCATAAGTCTGGGGGAAGAGGATGGTTAGCATGTTGTCGCTGTGGGGATTTGAGTCTTAATGCTCTGTGTTGTTAATGCTGGGCATATAATTTTAAAACTTGCATGCTATAGAAGCAGATAATTATTTCCCTGCTGCATTTTATACTCTGGTTTGGGAAAGGAAGAAATTTCAGAATATTAAAAGAAAGAAAAAGTTATGATTTGGGGGACTATTGAAAATGGAAACAGAAAGAGGGGAGTAATGGGTGTCAGTCTGGTTATCAGTCAAGCTGGAAAGAGACAGCTTGTTCTGTCGAACACCAAGAATGTTAGTAGTCAGCCAACCACTTATGCAGGAAGAAAACCCTAGACTGAAAGGTAAGGTTCAAAGACATCTGTGTATGTTTCTGAAATGAGCTTGAATTAAGCTTGCTATTGAATTATGCTTACTGATTATGTGTGTTACATATGTGATTTTTGTTTAGCGCAGGCTATTCATGTGATTGCTAGTTATTTTATTTTTATTGCAGGATCTGGCGCTCTCTCTTTTCTTCTCCAGTCTTGGATGCTTTTTATGTGTCCAGGGTTGATATTGGGTGACTGTTATTTGGCAGAAGGCTTAGCAGTGCTGTGGCATCTCTTTTTTTTTCCCTTTTTTTTTTCCCTTACCTCAAGTGAAATACATCTTCCCATTTTCTAGATGTTTATATGGTGAACTTCTTGCTGAATGTCTGTGGCTAGCATCCTCTCAAGCTGGCCTAATGGTGTGATTCATACACTCTCCCATGTGCAAGGATTGATTCCCTCCTTAAAAGAACTCTTCAGCACTAAAGGGTATATCAGCGGTGTGCTGGCTGTGGTTTGTTTCTATTTGCAAATAAATTTGTTCTTTTGAGTTAGTTTGTATTGGTAAGTGGTATTTTCCACTTACCCAGAAAGAGGAAGCAGAGCTTAAGAGTGGATATTGGGGTACCTGCATACGTCTGCTGTTTCTGCAGCAGATTTGATCTATAACTTGAGAGAAGTCACAAAAGAGAGGACCCAAAGAGGAGGCTGACAGAAGGCATTTTCTCACCTGCTGTGAACTCCTGAGAACTTACTAAGGCCGAAGGGAGATTATAGATCTCTAAGGCAGTGCCTGAACTCCTTTTTAACTGCAGTTCAGTTGTGTGTAAAGTGGGCATAATCTCTGAATTATAAAACAAAGGCTGTGTTTTTCAGGTAGTTTGAAATCCTTATGTAGAGCTGTGGAATCATAAATTATTAATCTTATTGGAGAATATTTCTAGAGGTCACCAGTTCTAATAGTTTCTTTCAAACAGAAGTAGGTTCACTTAGAACAGTTTGCCCCCTATAAAATCTCTGACCTTGCCTATTCAAACTTCTTTACAAATGCATCATTTAATGCAGGAAGCTCCTCAGGGAAGGTTCTTCACATCTGCCATCATAATTTCTTATTTCCTAAATGCAGCAATTTGTACTTGATTATTCTTAGAAGGATAGTGTCTCCCTTCCCTCCCCCTGCTCTGGCATATTCCTTTGTGCTGCTGCTTGTTTCGTAGCCTGAACGTGGCATCTGAAAGTGTTTAAAATCCAAAATTGTCTTCGTTGTTATTTTGCCACTTCCTTACCACTCAATTCTAGGGGCATGAAGGAATCTGCTCTTTCATTCTCAGACTGTTTTCCTGCGGGTTGTTAGTGACAGCAAGTTGTCATCATTTTACAGCCATTCAGTAAGTAACAAAACTGAGCTGAATCTCTCATTTCAGTTTCCTAAGGACAAGATTTCCCAAAACAAAAATACACCACCACTTCTTGGAGTACTTAACATCTGTAGTAGTTAAGCAAAGGACTGAAGCCCAGATTTTTAAAGATGCTTAAGTGCTTGACTGCCACTAGAATTGAATTGGACCAAAGTACCTGTAAATAGCTTTAAAAATTTGAGTGACTGTGAAGACCTCCCTCATCCATCACTCTTGGCAGTGGTCCCTTCAGAATGGAAGTAAGGCACATCAGCAAGGTCACTTAAAATACTTGTAGTCCTGCTTTCCAGAATCTGCACATAGTAAGTGAATTGCTGCATTCTAGCATGGCTTACCATGAAATACATCTTCTGAAGCAGATTACGTATATTCCTTAGAAGAAAAGAGCCCTCGCTTGCATGAAAGTAAATACTTAAGACAGACAACATTTGAAAAGGATGCAGAATTATACTGTAAAAATACCCACCTTTATAGCTTATAATCCATTTTTTATTAAAACTGGGAAATAAAAGTAAAATTCACATTTAAATTACTTTCTGCTGTTTCTAGGGGATACTCTTTGCATTCCAGTTGGTTTCACTTTGCTGTTCTTCTACCCATTTTCAGTGCAGCTATTCTAGACTTGCATAACCTTCAGGGAAAAATTTATTCCCAAACATAAAACCTGTTTGGATTTTACTTTTTTTAATATTTAATAACATTTAACTGTGTGTTAGCCTTTGAATCACTTTCTTTTCCAGTGAATCCAGAATGTTGGGCTAGTGCTGACTGAGAAGAGAATGTGTTTGAAGGGGGGAGCCCTTCATATCTGTGTCAGGGGAATAAACATTCAGCCGTGCCATAAAAAAAGAAAGGAAAGTAAATGATTATGTTGAAGAAACATTATTATTTGTCGCACCATTCTGAAGAATGACTGCCTTGTCTTTTAGATTTGTATTAAATGTCTGAAATACTTGAGAAAGTTGCCCCTGTGTTCTTTAGCAAGTTTACTTCCACTCCCTGCTTCCCACCCCCAACTAAAGTACGTTCATAAAATTGCTGAGTTGGAAAGGTTTGTGATGAGTTCTTTGAGCTGTGTGTCTTCGTCCCTGCATATCCCCCCTTCATCTTCATCTCATATTAAATAAAGCAAATTCCAAACAGGTTAACTGTCAAACAGTTATGCTCCATCTCTTCAATCTGCTTTTAGGTTTTTCGAAGGGGAGTGTGCTGATTAGGTAAGGAGATGTCATGGTCTTCTTCCATCGATGTAGGAAGATAGCAGATATGATCGCCTGAAAAAGCCGAACTACACAGTGCAAGCATGGCTTTCGCCCAGTCGCACATTATGGCAGCTAGAAGGCATCAGCACAGTAGACTCATAATTGAAGTGGATGAGTACAGCTCCAACCCCACACAGGCTTTCACGTTCTACAACATTAACCAGGGACGTTTTCAGCCCCCACATGTGCAAATGTAAGTATTATAGTTTTGTTATTGCTCTAGCACAGCCTTCTGAATTGTTATTGGCTTGTCAATGTGGTATTTGATGGACCAGTCAAAAAGAATTCAAAGAACACTGTTTTGCTGCCTTTCTAATAATAATTACTATAATGATACAAAATCAGTCCATTTGGAAAGTATAAGTACTTTGTTAAAGGATGGGAGAAAGATCACTAGCGTAACTTTAATACATCATACTTGCGTATTAAAAAGAGAAATAAACAACAAGCAGTGATAATAAAGTAAGAGTGCTACAAGGATGATACTTTCTGCAATCTTAATAATGTTCATTTGCATTGTGCACTTGATTATTAATGTAAATAGCTGTTGAAAATACCAAGCCTGTATCTGTACAACACATACTGTTTGGTTAGTTATATTACAGCTACAAACAAGGGAAAAGTCACATCAATAAATAAAATAGTGTGGGCACCCATCCGAAAACTTACTTTCATACTGATGTGCCAAAGATGCCAAGTGCTTAAAGAGTAATTAAAATAATGTGTTTGTTTCTGACTTCTTATATAATGACAATATCAGTAAAATTAACTGTTCTAAATGATTTACTTGTAATGTAAAGTGGAGAATTATAATTACAAAATGAAACCTGCCATAAAGTTTAAAGCCAGAAGGAAGAGCAAAACAGTAAAGCTATTACAAATAAATTAAGTATAAAATTCTACTGTAAAATATTTTTATAGGGAATAAAAATGTCTGCACCATTTTATTGTGTTTATTAAAGAGAGAAGCAGCCTTATCTTTAGATCAGAAGGCTGGTTTTCATTTTCTTAAAGGAAACTTTTTTTCCTTTAGGAAGACTGAATAAATAATCACCTCATTCACATTTTTGGTATTTAATATGATCTGTAATTTACAAACATAGGCCATGATTTCTGCAGTTAAAAAATTCAGCAATTATGACTGGTTGAATGCTATATGTCTATTTAGTGAATGCTTAGGTACATTCTTTGGCATAAATTAGATATTACATTTAAAAAATCTGAAGACTAACAAATATACCAGGGTGGTGATCAAACACTCAGTTTTTGGGGGCAGTGTATTAGCTTGTGGTCTGTGTTGGGGGTTTTTAGTTACTGTTGAAATGCAAACAGTAAAATGAGTTGAGTGTTAGCACTGGGAAACATCTTTTGTTTATAGAGCTGGCAAATGGTAGCAAAAGTACAAGCAAACAAATGTGGGTTCAGAAATACTTTTAGAAATGAAAATGCCAAATGCAGGTTGCTTTATTTGTTGAGGCTTAGCCATTCTTTGTGAATATTCAGACAGTTCCTGGGCACTCATGAATTTGTTCACTGGTCTTAAAAGCGGCATGTTTTTTAGTGGGCTGAAAGTAAGTTATTTATTAGTATCCACTTGGTACTCAACAATATGCTATTTAAACTTCTAACCAGTAACAAATCATATTATTGGAGGGCTTAGACAATCAACTGCATGATAGAAGTTCAGCACCTAAACAAGTAGTTGGAAATAAGCTATCCTTAGAAAATGGTTCCTCAGAACGGTTTAGCAATCTACTATTGAAAAAGCTTGTGCAAATAGAAGAACAGGCTAAATCAACTGAAACATTTACCACAATCTGACCTAGTCTTTCTCTTGGTACAGAAATTGTAAATAATGTTTCTGAATACCAGCAGGATTTCTTTTGCCTCCTACCAGTGAATAGAATAATAAAAAAGAAGGGAAAAGTAGACATAAAAAGTGTAACAAAAGCACCTTTTATTCACATGAATCTCAGCCCTGCTTTAGTCCATGCAAGTTTTGTCGGTAACTTCAGGGAGGTGAGGGCTTTGCCTTGTCTTTATGTATAGTTCAAAATACCTAGATTAGTCATGTTGCAGGCAATCATAAACAGATTTCACACAGACCTGTTAACATCTGAACTCGCAGTAAACTACTTTAACCACAGGAGGGGTTTTGTGCTTCTTTTCTTCTGGATTCAATCTTGCAGCTCTTCCTTGGCCCTCCATGCAGTTTTATATTTCTTGTTTTGCATTTTAGCACCCGTAACATGCTGACAGCCCTTCCTAGCCCCGTCTTAGTCTTGTGCTTGTGAGATGTCTGGGTTGCCACTGACAAGAAGGGTGGTAAATTCTGATAGTGTTTTCAAGTCCATCAGTCGTTTCTGGGCAGTTCCTGTCTTGCTCCTTTGTGAAACCACTGAAATCTAGAGTATAAATGAACCTCTGGCAGTGTTTTTGCTCTGAGATTTTTTAACTTTGCTTTTCAATTTCTCTGCAAGTTTTCATACTGCTTTAAAGAAAAACAATAGCATTCGCACAAAAATAATCAGCAGATCTTTATTCCTCTGCTCATGCTGCAAGCAGTGCATTGGGTGTTGGTGTGACAGCTGCTGTGGGAATGCGTTACACAAGAATATGGAGATTGAGCCTTCAGAAATTATTTCCAGTAATACAACTTCGATGCATTTGTGAAACTTGACATATGTTTTTACCTATATCCGGCCTCAGTGTGTGCATATCACTTCAATGTGAAAATCTGCATCTCATTTATTTGTTTTTTTGTATTGATGCCTTTTTCCCATGAAAATTCTCTGGCCCATTGCACAGCATTTAAAAGTTATGCATACCTCAGCAACCAGGAGAATGCTGTTCACGTCTTCCCCGTCCCCATCCAAACTATAAGAAAAAGCACGTGTATTATGTGCTGCATGGGTTGCCAAGGTAAGGCTTCAGAGGAGCAACATGTGAAATGCATGCTACTCCCCAATACCCAACTTACTGCTGTGCTGAGCTTTAAAAAGATTTCTGAAGGAGAGGAAGCACCTGCTTTAAAGGCTACCCTACCATGAAAAGTCAAAAAGTGGTATTTTAGACCAGTCCGTATCCTTATGTTGTGCCAGGGTAGTATGCATATGTGTTGGGTTGACTTGTAACTCACTTCGGGAAGTGCTGGGCAGGGAGAACAATAATCAGAAATTTGTTTACTGAACTGATGTTTAATCTTTTTAGCTTGAACGGCTGCAACAATAGCCATGGTCACCTCCCCCCATTTTTATCCAGCCATCCCAGTTCATTTTGAAGAAGAACTCCGTGAACTGAATGCATTGCCCTTCACACAGCTCGCACCTTATGACAAGCCTCACTCGCTAGTCTAAAATCCACCATTCGCCATCCATATTCCTTTGCACCCCTGCTACCTCTACTCACCACCCATGGAGCTCACTCTATGGCAGCTCTCTTCCCTCCAAGACAGAGGCATTTTTAACATGCGATGGCCGTCATGCAGCTGCACTGTTTGAGGTTGTGACCTCCTATGCCTAACTCCCCCTGCATCTAACTCTTTTTTTTTCATCTGCCCTTCTACATGTGCCTGTGGTCCTCCCCCAACATACACCCTCCATCAGCCCTACACAGAGTGTTTGCAGCTGCTCTCTCTCAGGGTCCAAACGTTCCACTCTTTGTCAGCCAAGTTTTACAATTTCCAGTACATGCTTGCTTACATATCCCACTAGCACGTACATACTGTTGGGTATTCATTAGATATGGTTTGATCACAGCTGATTTTACTTCTTACCTCATTTTTGGTTACTTTCTGCTCAAAAACTGGAACTTCAGAAAGACGACTACAAGGTACTTGTGCTAAAAGGCTGTTTCTCCAGTACTGCTGTAAAAACCTCAACATTTCTTCTTCCTAAAAAGGTATAGGAAAGATGGGTACAAAATAATTTGTTCATATTCTGGTTTTGTAGTTATATTGTAGAAAATGCTAAGAACTTTCTCTATATTTAACAAGATACGAATGTTTTAGATTTATTCCTCACTCTCTCACTAATCTTGTTAAGTTGTCAAAAACACCTCAGTTTACCCACCTATAAATTTCACTGAATTCTTCGACTTAGAGACAAGATTGCGTGATTAAAGATTATTATCATATATCTTTCAAGCAATAAAATGCCTTCTGAAAATTTACCCAGTAAACAGGGGTAGTAGTATTAATAGCAAAGATCTCTTAACTTTTTTCCTGAGTTTATTTATATAAAAGTAAGCTGCTGAATTGAAGCACAACCAGCAAGGGTTAGGAATATGTATTACATACTGCAACAGTGAACAAAACTAATTTTATTTGTCCTTTCAAAATAAGTGTTGTAAAAGTAAAATAATTCGTAACAATTCTGTATATCTCTCTGGCTTCTAGTGACATAAATGTAGCTCTTGCATCTCTAGCTTTTTGATTTTACTCCACCAGAATTCCCTAAACTGGAATAGCAGATATGGTATAGCTGCATATAGATACATTTGCTTCTATATATTCTAACAAAATACGGATTGAGCGTAAAAAGATTGAGTTGAAAATAAGTATTTCTCATATAGCAGAGAGGTGTTCCCTGCTTTTCTGTTCTAAATCATAAGTAAGTCTCATCAAACTGGGTCAGATCTTTTCGTTTCCTCGGTTTTGAATATCGAGATTGGGCTCTGAACAATGCAGCCTCACCCCTCACAGCATCTGATTTCATTTAGTATAATTAAGCCCAGAAAGTTGCCACATTTGTCCTGACAATAGTCAGGCTTGAACGTACATTTACAGCTGTGTTGTCAGGAGAGTTCTTATCTTGCTTTGCATTAACACACTGAAACATATCTCCAAAATGTGTTAATTAAATTTGCTGGAATTATATAACTTGCAGAAAAAAGTTATAATTAGAAAAAATGCATTTAAATGTATTTATGTATCTAAAATGAATCTTTCCCCTGTGTACTATGTAGTCATATTTAAACAATGAAACGGGATAGTACTGTTCCTTTGAAACTGGCAATGCCTTTGGTTTATTTGTAAGTGTTTGTTTCAGAGTTACTGCCATAGTTCAATCTCTTTTCCTTAATCTTTTTAAATTAATCCATCTACCCAACAAATACTGAAAATGTTGTGATGTGAACATCAAGAATTTTTACACCTCCCATTAGTGTTAGTTTTGTTTTAATAAATCTCTTCCATTAGACAGATCTACAAGCCTGTGTAATCTTTTGTAAAGGTAAAAAATAGTATTAGAATTGCAAAGTAGACACTAAGAAGTACATAAGTACTTTATAACCTTGTTATGATGCATTTCCTACAGGGTTGATCCGGTGCCCCACGATGCTCCCAAACCTCCAGGATATACACGATTTGTCTGTATTTCTGATACTCACTCAAGAACTGATCCCATCCAAATGCCATATGGAGATGTGTTAATACATGCTGGTGATTTTACTGAGCTGGGACTTCCTAGTGAAGTAAAAAAATTCAATGAGTGGCTAGGTAGGTATTGAATTCTGTGTGGATTTGAAAGTAAATTTGTTTACTAATTGTATCTGCCCCTTCTGCCTCCCAGTAAAAACCATCATGCACTCAGAAATGATGAATATTAATTTGACTTTTAAATTTGAATGGCAATGAGCAGGAATCAGATTTTTTTTCTTTTTTTTTTTTTTTACAAATATTTTTGCATTTTTCCAACTGAGCAAATAAGATTTGTGAGACTATTCATCTGTTCTGCCTTCACACTCTCAAGTGTACATTAAGCAACTTCTTGGTGTTAGCAACAATTTAAGGCAGTAGGCCTTTAATGATTTACATAAAACCTCTTACATACATTGTTATGGCTTTGCTTCCCCGCAGAAAAAGTTGTTGTGACTGAAAACATTTGTCTGTTTAACCCCGGAGGCTCATAGTTTTTTTATCTGAGGCTCAGCTGCACCACAGTGATGAATTCCAAACAAAGCAAAACGTGTGCCTGTGGTTGCTGTCTTGGAAGTAGCAGACCAGATGTAGATGCCTTCTGTAGGCAACTGTTGGCATTGGTAACTGAAATTCTGTTCCACTGGGCAAGAGAGTGGTGATTTACATGTGCTTCTGCAATGTTTTGTAGATGCTAAAAAAAATGACAGTGAAAATTGGAAAGCATACACTGTATCCAGACAAAAACCCTGATCGGTATTGTTCCTGCAGCAGTGTGGATACCTTAATTTAGAATAAAAATGGATTCTGGATTCTGATACTTCATTATCAAAGAAAGGGTGAGAGGAAATGAAGGAGTTGGAGAGAGAAAGGACACAGTTTAAGGGTAATGGATTTCAGTTTTTAGGTTTATTTTCTTTCCTGTAGTTGATATTTTTGCATTTTTCCTGTCTTTTGTGCTACATATTACAGCATTCCACACTGGAAAGGCACAAAGCAGACAGATGCATGTAGGCTGGAATAGAATATTAAAAGAAGCCAGGACTTCACAATTTAAACAAATATTTACTAGCAAATAATTATCAGCAAGGGTGATAAATATTTATTTGAGCTTGGGAACCCAGTAATATAACCCACATGGAACAACTGCATTGTTTTATGAGTATTAAGGTAGGGACAGCATGTGGAAGTTACATACTCTGTTATACTGCCCTCACATCTGTCTCTGTACCCAAATGGAACAGGTTGGCTGTAAAACAAAGCAAATTTTAATCCTGTTTTGTAGGTCTCTACCATGTATTATAATAATGTACTGAAAATAGCATATAAAGATTATACAAACCATATGGTTATCCCTTCTAAATAATATCCATTTTATTTATCTGCTAGTGTGGGAAGAAAAGTGCTTTGGGATATTGCTATTGAGCAAGGATGGGGGCTACACCCATTACTTGCTGCACAGTTTTTGTCTCCCTAGTTCTCCATCTGCCTCCCTGCTGGTCACAGCTGTACAGTGTTCTGAAGAAGTCCTTAAGCTGAAATTCTCTCAGTATGGTAGGGAGATTTCCCAAGGCATTTCTGTGATGGTCTTTTCATCATTTTTATTCCAAAAGAAGGCTTAATTTTCTGACTTTTCAGGCATGCTTCCAATTTCATGGTAGTGTGTGGTTTGGGAAAAGGTCATCTTTGTGCTTTGAGTTATATTTTTGCAAGAGCATCTTTGAGATATGCAGATTTAGCAAATTAAAGATTTTTTTCAGTTTCTTGGCAATTTGAAAAAATGCTAAATTTAACTTAATTTTTTAATTAATTCTGGAAAATCCAATAGAAAAATAATTTGGGGTCAATACATGGGTTTCATTCAGCTATCATTTAAAGTTTTGTTCCTGTTCAAAGTTGTGAACTTTAAATTACAGTCAATGAGATTTCAAAATGGAAACTTCAGCTTATTTTGAAAGATTTTTTTTTGTTTTAAATGAACAATTTATCAACTCTTGAATACCCTGAGTGTTTGCAAAATCTATAGTAAATGGTAGAATGCTTAAGTGTTCTCTTTGAGAAGAAGAAATTTCAGAAGTTTTTGCTGGTTGTCCATTTTGTTGTGAAAGGCACTAGTCTTCAACAGTTTTGATTTTTCTAGATAGCTGCTTCCAGTACCTGCCATGATTTTGCAACTCCCACAGCCTACCCAACCTTCTCCTTCTTCCTTGTCTTAACATTTTACTAGTTTCTAGAGAAAGTAATTGAATGACTCTGGCACGGACTTTTACCTCCACTGTCATTCTTACCTGCTGCCACCAAATTTCCCTGTCCATTCCTTCATCCCATAGCACAGGGCTCACCTTCCCACTTAGTTATTTTGTTCTGTGTCAAATCTATTCTGCCATTATTAGACTATAACTTTGTTTATGCCTTGGAATAAACACTAGAATATTTGTTTGTTACACCTTCCCTTGATCTCAGCTTCCTCTTAGGCACTAGATACATATCCTACTCCTGTTTTTGCACCACATCTTTATGTGTAGCATTGATTCCTACCTTTTTTAGCTTTCTGTTCCATCATACCCTCTTGAGTCTGTGCCACTCTGGCCTGTTGGCCTATTTCATCTCTTCAAGAGGCCCTTCAGCAAGTTCAGATTTTATCTTTCTGTTCTGCATAAAATTTCTGTGCCTGTCTGATGCAAAGTATATTTTACATTAACATCATTAACTTCCATGGACCTTATGGTTATATTGAGCACATGCTCAAGTGTTGTGCTAATAGAGGCACGTTGGCTTGCTGAATCATACCCTAAAATATGTTCTCTCTTTTTTAGGCTAACTGTATGTGGGTATACAGGAAGGCCTGTACCAGCTCAAATAGTATGTCTGTCTAGCCCAGTATTGTCTTTGACCGTGGCTAGCAGCCAAGGTGCTCTGCTTTGTCTGCCCCTTAGTCACCTAGTTTTATACTTTCTATCCTCTGACCCCTAAAGCCCTCCACTCCATTTCATTTCACTTCGTTCTTTTAGTAGTTTTCTTTCACTTTTCTTTTTCTCAAAGCCCACTCCCTCCTTCCCAGGGAGGGATTTGAGGTTTTACTAGGGCTAGGTTGATGCCTAACTCTATGGAGGAGATTAAATGCATGTGCATAATTTCTCAGCTTTCTTTGGTAGGCAGTCCAAGGACGTCTTGAGCCACAGCATTACTTTGTATTTAATATATAGATTTTTCTTCTCTGAGTTTTTTAATTGCCTTTTGGATTTATGCAAATTTTGAGCGCCGACACAATCTTGCATCGGAGTTCCACAATGTGATATGGATTGTGTGACGAACTTTGCTTATTTTGAACCTGTCACCTACTAGTTTCATTTAGTATTTCCTAATACTGGAAGAAGCAAGTGAACAATTTCATTCTTCTTTCTTTTTTTGCTCTTCCCATATCTGCTCTTAAGGTATTTTTCAGGCTGAAGACTCTTTAGAAGTCCTTAAATGCCTTTGATCATCTATGTACCTCTTTGTTCTATATCCTTTTAAAAATGGTGAGACCAGAACTGCACAGGGTCTGAGAACATCACAGATTTATCCCCTGGCATAATGAAATTTCCTAGTTTGTTTCTTTTCCTTTCTAGTGTTGTGGATTATTCTGTTTTTATTTTTGACTGTGACTGAACAATGAGATGGCATTTTCATAAAATTGCCTATTACAACTCTATGAACTTGTTCCTGAATGGTAATATCTAGTTCAAAACCCATCAGTGTGTATCTATAGTTGGTATATTTTTTCCAGCATTTGAATTATTCTGCATAAATTTATATTCAGTTTCATCTGTCTTCTTATTGCCCAGTCATGCAGTATCATGATGTACTTTTGCAAGTCAGATTTCTATTTTGCTACCCTTGTTCAGGGTAGTTTAGAAAAAGAAGGGAAAAAGCAATGAATAATCCGTTTACAAAGCTTGCCAATGCTGCCAACCTGATAATTTCCCTCCCTTCTTTTCCCGAACCGACCTTTCTTCTGTTTTTATATTTCATCTTTTCCTTTTTTTACCTAGTTTCTTCTCTGACTGTATTTTTCTTCCAGATTTGAAAACCCAATTTTGTAAAAGCAGAGAAAATGAAGTACAAAATACGTATTATGGTAGGGCCAAATGGAAGGCCATGAGGCCAGTGAAACTTTCTAATGACATTATAAGGATGCATGATATGACAGCTTTGAACATATGCTAATTTTCCAGTATGTCCAGGAGATTTTAATGACATCACTTTAAACAGCCGGAAATAATTCAGGGGAATTGTTTCTAAATACATGGACCTGTGAGAGCAGGTCCAGAGGAGGGCCACGAAAACGATCAGAGGGATGGAACACCTCTCCTGTGAAGAAAGGCTGAGAAAGTTGTGGTCGTTCAGCCTGGAGAAGAGGAGGTTCTGGGGAGATCTTATTGCGGCCTTTCAATATATAAAGGGGGCTTATAAGAAAGATGAAGAAAGACTTTTTACCAGGGCCTGTAGTGACAGGACAAGAGGCAGCAGTTTTAAACTGAAAGATGGTAGATTTAGATTGAATATAAGGAAATAATTTTTTACAATGAGGGTGGTGAGACACAGAACAGGTTGCCCAGAGAGGCTGTGGATGTCCCATCATTGAAAATGTGCAGAGTGAGGTTGGACGGGGCTCTGAGCAACCTGCTCTAGTGAAAAATACCCCTGCCCATGGCAGGAAGGTTGGACTAGATGATCTTTAAAGATCCTTTTCAACTCAAACCATTCTATGATTCTGTGTAATCAAGGCTAGATAAGGTAGAACATATCATAAGATATGTCAAGCTAACTATGCACTGTAGCTATCCTTGTCCTCAACTTTTTCATTATTTTTGTTTTTGTTATTTATTCCCTACCTGCATATAAATCAAATGTGTTGTAGAACAAATACAAAGACACATGTCCTGCTTTAGTGCACTCATCAAATAATGACTCCAAAACCATCTCTATTTTTTATCTCCTATATTGTTGGCACTGGAAATTGCCTGCTTGGCTCAGTTGCTCTTGTAATTCCCCTTGCTCAAGTCTGTAATATCATTTCCAAATTGTGTATGCTCCAG